TTGAGACAGAGCCTCAAGCTCTCACACTGGATAGAGTGCTGTGGCATCACAGCTCACAGCAACCTCCAACTCCTGGGCTCAAGTGATTATCCTGCCTCCGCCTCCCAAGTAGCTGGGACTACAGGCACCCACCACAATGCCCAGCTATTTTTTGGTTGCAGCCGACGTTGTTTGGTGGGTCCAGATTGGATTCGAACCTGCCAGGTCAGGTGTATGTGGCTGACACCTTAGCCGCTTTAGCCACAGGCGCCGAGCCTATCTGTCAGTCTTGATGACTATCCAGTCTACTATTTGATAACCTATGAAAGTGTCTGATAATCCTGTATTATCATTCATTCAGATGACAACCTTTTCTGTTCTTCCTACTCGGCTATTAGTTTATACCTTACATTATGCAGATTGGAATCTTAAAATCTCCCCCACCAGAAAACTCCACATATACGATTTAAGGTAGCGTCACCTCAAGCACTGTTGCTAAAGAAGAATTGTATAAGTGTCCCCTTGATTTTGTTTTTATTTTCCTTTTTTTCTTTTTTTTTTTTTTTGAGACAGAGTCTCACTATGCCACCCTCAGTAGAGTGCTGTGACGTAATAGCTCACAGCAACCTCCAAATCTTGGGCTTAAGTGATTCTCTTGCCTCCACCTTCCAAGTAGCTGGGACTACAGGCACCCATCACAACGCCTGGATATTTTTTGTTGTAGTTGTCATTGTTGTTTAGCTGGCCCAGGCTGGTTTCGAACCCACCAGCCTCAGTGTATGTGGCTGGCGCCATAACCACTGTGCTACAGGTGCTGAGCCCTGTTTTTGTTTTCAGTTACTCCTAAGTAGCAAAGAAATTAGAAAACCATTTTCAGTATCTTTTTTCTGGACATCACAGCAAGGATTAAGACAATAGAACAATAAAAATGGTATGGGCATATTCCTAGATGTGTTTATCTGCTTATTTGATCCTAGTAGTCTAATACATATGTACAAATGAACCCTACATTTTTATTTTTATTTAGAGCAAAATTTCAGATTTATAAAACAGAAAAAAATATTTGATTTCTTTTTTTTTATTGGCAGATCATGATCAGGAGCATTTTTCTGTTTCTGGATAGAACTTACGTTCTTCAGAATTCAATGCTACCCTCCATTTGGTAAGGATGCCAGAAAAGCATTATGAAAAGATACATTACAAATCATAGTCAAATCTTAATTATACTCATGAAAGAGTATAAGTAATATTGTGAATATTCTCCTAAAAATTCAGATTTGGCTTCTACACTCTTATTCATAACAGCTTTACATTCTTAATGATATGTTACTTATGCTAATATTGAAGATAGTTAACATTCCCTGAGCGTATATTAATTTACGAAGGAGTTTTTTGTTAGATAAGGGCATTACTAGTTTGCTCTGCAGTATTTATTTATGAATGAATCATTTTGCTACTGATTATTAAGAGTTCACTCTTTTTTTTAAATGTCATTATGGAAAAGTTGACGTATACACAAAAATAGAATGATGTAATGAACTCTTCCCCTATTATGTGCCTAGCTCTCCCTACAGCAATGACCAAGAGTTCACTGATTTTCTTTTTTTTTTTGAGACAGAATCACAGTTTGTTGCCCTCAGGAATGCTGTGGCATCAAAGCTAAGAGCAACCTCAAAATCTTGGGCTCAAGTGATCCTCTTGCCTCAGCCTCCTGAATAGCTGGGACTACAGACGCCCACCACAACGCCCAGCTATTTTTAGAGACGGGGTCCTACTTTGGCTCAAGCTGGTCTCGAGCTCATCCTGAGCTCAGGCAACCCACACGCCTCAGCCTCCCAGAGTGCTAGGATTATAAGGGTGAGCCACCATGCCCAGCCAAATTTTTCCATTTTTAGTAAAGGCGGAATCCCTTTTGTTTAGGCTGGTTTCCAACTCCTGAGCTCAAGCTATTCACCCGCCTTGGCCTCCCAGAGTGCTAGGATTACAGGTGTGAGCCACCATGCCCTGCCAAGTTCACTGAGTTTTGAGTATTGAAGTCACTTGATAAATGATGATGTAAGCTTTCAATACCAGTATGTTGAAAACTATTTTCTGTCTTTGAACTAATTTTATCTCTTGATTTGACCAAGGAAGAAATCCACAAGAGGAAAAATATAAGAAAAGTTAGTTATGGAGGAAGATAAGAATTTAGCTTCAATTCTCATTCAAGACAAAATGAGTTTCCTGTATGCTTTAATAATGTTATTAAAAATTAAATGTGTTGGATTTTATCCTTTTACAAGTGTTACTTCAAACCCTGGAGCCCTAATTAACATGTGGTAAGAAGTAAAGCCTCTTTAGAAGTGGTATTATTATCAATTAATCTAGATTATTATTTTTTTTTTATTTTAGGGACATGGGACTGGAGTTATTTAGGGCTCATATCATAAGTGATCAGAAAGTTCAGAATAAGACAATTGATGGTATTCTTCTCTTGATTGAGAGGGAAAGGAATGGTGAAGCAATTGATAGAAGTTTACTCCGAAGCCTTTTAAGCATGCTCTCTGATTTGCAAGTAAGTTAACTGCTTCAGTTACTATAAAGCTGATTGCTATCCCTAGTTTGATATTTAAACCCCAAATTCATAGAGCTGTTCACATAGAGGACATTTTGTAAATATTGAGTAAATGAACTCCTTCATTCTTTTCTCCCAGATTTATCAAGATTCTTTTGAACAACGATTTTTGGAAGAAACTAACCGGCTATATGCAGCTGAAGGCCAAAAATTAATGCAAGAAAGAGAGGTATTTAAAAATTGTGATTAATAAATCCTGTTTTTCACAATAGACCTTTGTATAATAGAATATAAGGCTTCCTTTGCATTTGTCTTTACAGCATTGTGATACTCTTCTCTCACTTAGGTGCTCCTTTCTTTTCTCTCTTCTTAAAGGCCAGAATTCTGTCTGGATCATAAACTCTACCTATAATTTTCATATGATTCTACCCCGTCACATTTGACAGGGCTGCTCCCAGGATCTTTTGGACTTGATATTTTCTGAGTGATTTATGGGGAGGAAAACAGTAATATAAAACACTGTCTTTGTAGGTTCCTGAATATCTTCATCATGTTAACAAACGTCTAGATGAAGAAGCAGACAGACTTATTACTTACTTAGATCAGACCACCCAGTAAGTATTACATGCTCAGCCTAATAGTCTTAAACTGTCCTCAAATCAGTTAAGGCACTTTAGGCATCCTAAACATTTTACTATTTATGGATGTGATTTTGAGATTTTAACAATTGTTTTCATAATGTAAACTTCAGCTTGTTATTTTCCCTGGTTGATTAGATTTAATCAAGGCTTTGATTATTGGTTCATGTATTTTTAGACTGTAATTAAAAATTATATTAAAGACTAATGTGATCTTTGAAATCTCTGCGCTGATTAAAATTCAGTAGATTTTCATAGGAAAAACTTTCTGTGCTTCATAAATACAATAGAACCTCCATAGTTGACTACCTCCTTAAGTTGACCTAATTTTCATAGACTGTCTGGCATAGTAGGCCTAGTTCCTTATGTTAACCAGTTTGTTACAGTCCCTTGACACAACAGCTTACAAAGGTTCTACTGTGTTACCAACCATGAGGTTTGAGTAAACAGTATAGATAATTTCTTTACTAAAAGTGGAGAAACTTAGAAAAGGCCAGCCACAGCAAAACCATGCAAATATTTATTTCATGATATAAATTATATTTTGAAATATACAGCATTTCCTTCTTCTGGGCTTAGAGTAACTCTAAGCACCAAAATTTATACATAGGACAGGAATGTTGAAATTAACATAAGATTAGTTATTTGACTTTTTTCCCATTAGGAAGAGGCTTTACATTTTCAGGAAAATTAAATGTCAATAATCCTAAACTTTTTTTCCTTGTAGGAAGTCATTAATTGCTACTGTAGAAAAACAACTGCTAGGTGAACACTTAACAGCAATTCTTCAGAAAGGTAATTAATAATTTGTAAATAAAATTACTTTAAAAATGGTAGTAGCAAACACATAGGGAATCCTTTAAAATGCTGCCATTTTAAAAGCTTAATAGCATGTAACTGCATTTCTGAAGATGGGCACAATCCTTTTCACCTATTCATCACAGTAAACTTTCTGGAGGAGCTGGTTTCCTTAACTGAGTGAAAGAGTAAGTAGAAATGAGTTATCTACCAACACCAGTATACAGTGGTTGGCACACACCTATAGTCCTAGCTATTCAGAAAGCTGAGGCTAGAGGATTGCCTGAGCCCAGGAGTTCAAGGCCAGCTTCAACAACTTAGACTATATCTCTTAAAAAAAAGAAAGAAGCAGTGGGAAATTCTTGACTTAATATGTACAGCTATAGTAAGGAAAGTCAATCCTTTTTGCGCTAAAGTGGGGTTTCTTTTTTTATTCATAGTATATAAAATCAAATACTTCTACTAATCTCAAGTTGTCTTAGAGTATACCCTCAATTTTACTTCGGCAATGCTACAAGTTGGCAAAAAGTCTTATTTTTCTCTCCAGCAATCTTTTCTTTTCTATAGAATAGAGTCAACTATTTCTAAAGCAACTAAAATAGCTATATATTGAGTTTTTACCCAGAAAGGTAATGTCTATTTGGGTTTAATTCATAGGAAATCTTTTTTTTTTTTTTTTTTTTTTGAGACAGAGCGTCAAGCTGTCACCCTGGGTAGAGTGCTACAGCATCACAGTTCACAGCAACCTCTAACTCCTGGGCTCAAGTGAGTCTCCTGTTTCCGCCTCCCAAGTAGCTGGGACCATAGGCGCCCGCCACAACACCTGGCTATTTTTTTGTTTTTGTTTTTGGTTGCAGCCATCATTGTTGTTTGGCAGGCCCGGGCTGGATTCAAACCCGCCACCTTAGGTGTATGTGACTGGCGCCTTAGCCGCTTGAGCCACAGGCGCTGAGCCAATTCATAGGAAATACTACATTACAACTCAGTCTAGTCATAGTTCAGACCAATATTACAATAATAGTTTTAACTTAAATTGTATTAAAATATCTGATAATTTTGTTTACTTTTTTATTGCCAAAATGTTTTAAAACTCAGGTTTAAATAACCTCCTTGATGAAAACCGAATTCAAGATTTGTCTCTTCTGTATCAGCTCTTCAGTAGAGTTCGAGGTGGAGTTCAGGTTCTCTTGCAACAGTGGATTGAATATATCAAGGTATTAACAACTTACATGCTATTTTTTTCCCTCTCATGGCTTATAATCTATATACCAAGAAAGCATATTGGCAAGCATTTCTTGTTTTATCCACTTCTTTTAAGTAGGGGATTTTTTTTAAAGGAATTTTGAAAACAGTCATCCTGAGAATGATAGCTCTGTGACAAATCAGCAATAAAATCTGATTAATGTCTGATGTGATTTCTAGCTCCAGTACTTAAAGCTGTGAATGTAGAAAAAGAAAGGCCTTTTTTGAACTCAATGTTTCTTTCCTTTCTTCAGTCTTACACAGAAGCCCAATTGCCATTTTTAAAATATTCAAAGCTGACTTTTTAAAATATAAGGAAATGCCCCAGAAACTTCTAATGATACTCCATTATAATATGGTGTACCCAGTGATGATTTCTAATTATTTTTGTGATATGGATGAATATTGTCAAGCTGGATATTTTATCACTTCATTTTTCCCCCCCACTTCAACACAATTTTAATTTTTTAAGATTTTTAAATACATGTGCCAACTTAAAATATAATTTGGGAATTTTCATTGTAGATAATTCCATTCCATTAAAAAGTGGTAATTTTTATTTTTAGGCATTTGGTAGCACTATTGTAATTAATCCTGAAAAAGATAAAACTATGGTTCAAGAATTGCTGGATTTTAAAGATAAAGTTGACCATATAATTGATATCTGCTTTTTGAAGAATGAAAAATTTATCAACGCCATGAAAGAAGCATTTGAAACATTCATTAACAAAAGACCAAATAAACCTGCTGAACTTATAGGTATTTTTCCAGTTTTTTGTTTGCAGTTACTTGATGTTCATTTAGTCATAGATCTCAATCTGAATTTTTGACAAGGTTTTAGTGTACTTATACCTCATTTAGGGATGCTTAGCTGGTAATAACAAGGTTGAAGTGTTTCTAAGAACCTGGATATAAGCAATAAAGACCTTCAAGGTAAAGAACGTCTCAAAGCCCACATGTCAAACATGATGTTCTTTCTTTATGAGAAAGTACATTGGACCCTGTTTACTTTTACTGATAATAATCTTGATTGTCCATTTTCCAAGCCTTCAGTGATTTAGATATGGGGCAGGGTGCTATTTCTAGAGGCCTACACTTAGAACTGCACAAAAGGACAGCACAAAATTATAGTTGCTGGTAAGAAAGGGAAAAGTTTGGGGTAAAAATTAACCTAAAGCTTTGGGCCCATTTTAGTGTAAAGATGTGAAATTTTGTTGAAGTCTTATCCGCTTTTTATCCTTAAATGTTTAGCAAATTATACTTTATATTCTGTAACATAAGTCATTTATTTTAATAGTAATGTTCAAGATTGCTTACCATCAGTGTAAAATAGACACTCTGAAAGATGCCCCATGTCTTTCAGTGGTTTTGATTATCCGTGCACAGAGCTATATGCAGCCTTCTCTGAGGGATATCTGTATCCCATTTTAATGAACATTGGTGTAGTGGAAATAGATTTGATGTAGAGACAGAAGACTCAGGCTCTGGTGTTAGTTCTGTGGCATTAAACAAGATGCTTGGTCTCCCTGACATTGGAGACTTTATAATAATGTATGTGTATCTCTGAAGCATATCATACTGGTCTTTGGGTATGTATAATGTCCAGTACCTCATCAATACCTGTGGTCATTAACAAATTTTTCTCCCATTTTAGCTAAGTACGTAGATTCAAAGCTTCGCGCAGGCAACAAAGAAGCTACAGATGAAGAACTTGAGAAAATGTTGGATAAAATTATGATCATATTTAGATTTATCTATGGTAAGTATAACTATTTTAATATTTTCTTCTAAAATAAACCACTCAGCTCAGAAGCTAGCAAGTATATTTAACCTAGAGGGAATATTTATTTGGGAATTAGAGATTTCAAATTATATCTTATTCCTTGCATTTAATTAGAGATACTTGAAGAATATTATTTAATTGCCTTGTGTTTTGACTTTTCCACTGTTACGAGCCTTGATTTTTGCTACCTGTTTTAATGTCACAAATATTAGTGCCAAAGCTACCAGTCAACTAAAGTTTTTCCTAAGAAAAGTTAATGCAGTCTTAATTTTATTTTTACAATAAAGACCTTTTAAAATGTCTGGCACAAAAATGGACCTTTAATGTTTCTTGCACTTAACAAACTTGGATACAGTGTATTATAAAGCAAAATAACTTTGAAGTAATGGTGTGGTTTATTAAGCACTTTAAAGTAGTTTGTCAGAACTTTTTATTGGAATATTATGAGTGTTGTATTTTTTATTTAACATAGGCAAGGATGTTTTTGAGGCCTTTTATAAGAAAGATTTAGCCAAACGCTTATTAGTTGGGAAGAGTGCATCTGTAGATGCTGAAAAATCAATGCTGTCCAAACTCAAACATGGTATGTTTGTCACTCTTTTTGTTCCTTTTCTTTGTTTTCTGAGGGAAAATGTTAGCTTAATTTTTACTCTTTTAAATGATTTCCTCTTCTGCCAATCATGTGTATTTACATAGGATGAAAACATAGAATTGAGAAGCACACACAGTTTCCAACCTATTGTACATATACAGAGCTGATTTTTTTTTTTTAGAGAAAAGCATTATTCTTGTTTTCATTATTTGTATAAAAAAATTCCCATTTATCTTACACCTAAATAGTAGATAAGGTTACTATAGGATTAAAGATTTTGACTCTGAATTAGTGGAGCACACACTTTGGCGTAAGGATTTCTTTCTATTCTTATGAATAGTTATGTATCATATGTCATGCCAAAGTAAATTTTGCATTTCATGTTTTCCATTTTAAATTTTATGTTTTTACACCTTAAAATATTATAAATGTACAAACATCTTTAATAGAATGCGGAGCTGCTTTCACCAGCAAACTTGAAGGAATGTTTAAAGACATGGAACTTTCTAAAGACATCATGATTCAGTTCAAACAGGTAAAAGTGAGTTAAATTCTTAATTCCTCAAATTTAGTTATATTTAGTTAACTCCTTGCTGTGATTTGTACTGAAGAGGATAAATATAAACATACATTTGTTGTACATACTTCATTGCAACTTAGATGGTATTCATATGGTACAGGAAAAAAATTAATGAAATAGAAGTATATTTGACTTACTTTAGGATTTTTTAATAAACTCCCCAAATAACACACACACACAAATAAACTGTATTTAACTAAAGTCAGCACAAGAAGAGCTATAGCTAGATAGTGGGAACAGGACTTTACCCAATATCTTGGTGATTTGCATGTGCAGAGCTTGCAATGGGAAGGGAGCACAGATGATAAAGTGGTTGTATAAAGCTTTAGGGAATGTTGGGGATGTAAATTTAGATCCATAGTTTAGAAGTTGTAGGTAGAAAGTCGTTTTGAAATATTTAAGAACATAGGTGATAATGATAGAAAATTAGATATTTCCTTCTTAGGATTTTAGTAGTGACTTATTTATCACTGTATTGCTAGGGTGGGAAGTAAAGGTGAAAGACTCAGAAAAGATTAAAGCCAGTAGGATCATGGATCCTATGGTAGCTACAGAATAGAGTTTATCTGTTTTACCCTTCACCCCCCACCCACTTCTTCCTTCCCTACTTCAGGTCACCCCCTGTAAACAGGCAGTAGTGCAAATGAAAAACCAGAGACTTGAGCTGGCTGGTGGGATGAGGAAGGGGGGTTGCTGCAGGGTGTTTAAGCCACATAAGGGTCTCCAAAGGTAGGTACCACATGTGGTATTGGGGAAAAGAATGGAGAAGATATCCTCTAACAACTTAGCTTTGAGTTATGTATTAACTTAGTTATTTAAGTTGATAATGCCTATAATGAGGTCATGTGATCCTTGTATGCCGTTGTATCATATTGTTAAGCTATACACTTTCATAGTGCATTTTGTGTAGGCTTCTCTTGGAGTCCTCTTAATAGTTGCCTTTTATTTTAACAATGGTCGGTATTTGCATACAATTTTATAATGAATAACTTTTGAAATGAGTTGTTATGATATGGCATGTATGCAGTTTTACTGTGTATTTTAAAATCTAAGTATGTATATTGATTTTCTTACAGTATATGCAGAATCAGAATGTACCTGGGAATATTGAATTAACTGTGAATATCCTGACAATGGGTTATTGGCCAACATATGTGCCTATGGAAGTCCATTTACCACCAGAGGTAGGAGTTAGTGTTTAGGACCTGAAATATAGGCATAGAAATCATGGCACTTCTATTTTACTTATCATTTAATAATAGTTGCCTTTTAAAAGCTTGTGTTGGTAAACACACCAACACCAATGCCAACTGTTTTCATATTTTACTCTTAATATTTCAAAGTCCAGTTTAGTGCATAGCTAATAATGCCAAGTTCTTGGGTTCAAAGTCAATTTCTGTGACTCTTCTTTTATCTCCCCAGATTATACCTCTCACTCTTGTCTTGCTATTAAAAATTCTTGTCAGCTCAGTGCCTGTGGCTCAAGTGGCTAAGGCGCCAGCCACATACACCTGAGCTGGCGGGTTCAAATCCAGCTCTGGCCCGCCAAACAACAATGACGGCTACAACCAAAAAATAGACAGGCCTTGGGGTGGGTGCCTTTAGTCCCAGCTACTTGGGAGGCGGAGGCAAGAGAATCGCTTGAGCCCAGGAGTTGGAGGTTGCTGTGAGCTGTGATCCCACGGCACTCTACCCAGGGGGATAGCTTGAGGCTGTGTCTCAAAAAAAAAAAATTCTTCTCCTTTAGCTGAGCGTGGTGGCTCACGCCCATAATCCTAGTACTCTGGAAGGCCAAGGCAGGAGAATGACTTGAGCTCAAGAGTTCAAGACTAGCCTGAGCAAAGTGAGACCTTCATCTCTAATAAAAATAGAAAAATTATCTAGGCATGGTGGCAGGCACCTGTAGTCCCAGCTACCAGGAGGCTAAGGCAGTAAGATCACTTGAACCCAGGAGTTTGAGGTTGCCATGAGCTAGGCTAACAGCACAGCACTCTATACTGGGCAACAAAGTAAGACTCTTACCTCAAAAAAAAAAATCCTGCACATATTTCACCCAGAGGTGGAGTGGGATTGCAGTATAATGGGTGCTTAATTAAATCCATCCTAACTCTTAGAAAAATGTTTAGCTCAGAATGATGCCTGGTAAAGGGGTGAAGACTAGGGAGAGAGAAAGATTGAGAATCCTCCATGGAGATGATCATGGAAACATAGGGAGTAGATCTCCCTTAACACATGGGAGAATGTAGAGAAGAGGAAGAAAAAAGGGCAGGGACAGAACTTTAGAACAAGCTCACATTTAGCAGATGGTAGGAAGAGGAACATGCAAAGGAAACTAATGCAAAAACAGTGGTGAGATGAAAGCCAGCATAAAATGCAGAGGCACAAAAGCCACTGGATGTGACTGTTTGAAAATAGGGGGTGATTAAATGAGGCAGAGAGTATAAAGACTGATAAATGCCATTAGGTTAGGTGGTTGAGAGATCATTATTTTACATCAAAGGGATTAGTGGACCTACTGTATATAGTCTTAAAATCTGCCAGAAAGTATTACACAAGATAAGTGCAAAGAGTGGTGAATATGACATTGAATGCAGAGCTTAAATAAAGCCTTATTTTATTTACTTTAGATGGTAAAACTTCAGGAGATTTTCAAGACGTTTTATTTAGGCAAGCACAGTGGTAGGAAACTTCAGTGGCAATCAACCCTAGGACACTGTGTGCTAAAAGCAGAATTTAAAGAGGTGAGTGGATGTTCCCCAAACTTTTCGTTTTCATCTTCTTCAATATTGAGGTCATCCCTCTTTAACTCAAAGGTTTAAGCTGTTTTATAAATTTATTTTAGATATCTACATGACAATACTGATATCTTGTTACAGCTCTGTGTATATTTTAAGTTTGGCCCTCCCACAAAACCGAAAACATTAAACTTCTTCTCTATCCTTTCTGTGCCTGTGAATGCAAAATTCATACATACTGCCTCTTCTTTACAGAAATCTTGTTGCCGGGAGCTAGAGAATAGAGTGGGAGTAAAGAGGAACATTTCCCATACCTAATTTCAAGAAACTCTTGTAGCTATTTATGACTAATGTGAATCAAACAAGTCAAATGCATTTGAAATAGTGATTTCTTGCTGGTTATAATGAATATCTGTAATAACACATAGGGCTGAATTATTAATTTTCATTATTTTGTTATTCTATTTTAATTATAAGGATTAAAAAAGACCTGCTAAAAGGTCAACTGATCTTTTCTCCATTCTAGGTAGGATCATACCTAAATCCTACACTGAACATACAGTATTACTACCTCAAATGGCTTTAGTGGGTAATGTTAATCCATGTTTCTAAACCCACTAATCGAAAAATGATTTTCCTATGAAGATTAGTTATTCAGTTAATTTTTCATGTTTTTTTAAAGTGATGATTAAAACTGCTCTTTCTCCAACAGGGTAAAAAAGAACTCCAGGTCTCTCTTTTTCAAACGCTGGTGCTGCTAATGTTTAATGAGGGAGAAGAGTTCAGTTTAGAAGAGATCAAGCAGGCTACCGGAATAGGTTTGTGTCAAATTGGTCAATTAGCAAGCATTATTAAGTGTCCACATGTGTATACCACCATGTTAAGAGCTCTGAAGGGTGCAAAGGAATAATCCTTCACCTCGGAACTCTTAATAGAACTCTAGGGAAAGGGGAAAAAGACACTTGAAGTAATTTCAAAACCAATAAATACCTGTTTGGGGTGCTGACTAGAAGTGTGTTCAGAGTTAAGCAAAGCAGAAAATCACTGTGGACTAGCACAATTGAGAAAGCTCTCATGAAGAAAGTGGGACTTGAGCTAGGCCTTCAAGTTATGGTTAGAGAGAAGGCATATGCAGTAAGGGGAAATACTGTGAGAAAAAGTTTGGAGGTATGAATGGGTAGTGTAGGCAGGAACCATGAAGAGCTTAATTGTAGCATGGAATAGTGAGGTACAAAATTAGGATCGTGGAGAGCCTGATAAATCTAGCAGATGAAACCTACACTATAGGATCGCAAATGTTCAACATAATAGTAGTGATTGGACAGCTTACCTGGAATCAATATACAGGGCAACTTGAAGAAGAAATTCCAGTTGAGAAGTTATTGGGATTATTCAGGCATAAAGTGGTAAGGGGATTAGACTAGAGGGAGGCCATGAGAATGGAGAGGAGGCATCTGTAAAGACAACTAGTAGATACTACGTGCAGGATAGAGGAGAAGAAGAAAGAGTTAAAAGATGATTCTGGGCTTTCTTACCAAAGTAGGTTGGTGGTAGTATCACCACTAAAAATTGGAAAAAAGGACACAGTTTTATAGGGAAGATGATAAATGTAATTTTGGACATGAGTAGAGTTGATAATAGAACCAGCTAGGTGAGGGGTCCTTTAAATGTGAAATTGAAGAAAAGCAATTTTGGACATAAGTAGAGTTGGTAATAGAACCAGCTAAGTGAGGAGTCCTTTAAATGTGGGATTGAAGAAAAGTAAAAGGTCATTTGGTAAGATTTGGTAATTATCCACATGGAGTGATAATTGACACCTTTAGAAGATGACTGGGACAGAACAAAGAAGTTGTTGATGACCTTGCCGCAAAAAAAAGAGTTTTCACTGAGAGATGGAGTAGAAGCTAAGTTGTGTTTGAATGTACTGGTTCATGCTGATGAGCTGGTAACAAATTAATGAAACCTCTGTTTGTTCTTCAGAGGATGGAGAGTTAAGGAGAACACTGCAGTCGTTAGCCTGTGGCAAAGCTAGAGTTCTGTCGAAAAATCCAAAGGGCAAAGATATTGAAGATGGTGACAAGTTCATTTGTAATGATGATTTCAAACACAAACTTTTCAGGATAAAGATCAATCAAATCCAAATGAAAGAAACGGTATTTCTTTGGCTTTCTCCTAGTCTTAATGTGCTGGAATTATGTGTGTTCATAATAGAAATGTATTACATAAAGAACATTTTATACCCATAATATTACAACTACAATTAATATTTTCTGTGCCTTTATGAGCTAAATACACAAAGTGGCCATGAATTTTGTGTGCAGTGCACACAAACTTCACGGCCACCCTGTATTTTAGTATGTGATTGAGGGTTTGGAGTTTGCACATGGTTGGATTTGATATTCAACATAGTTTTATATCCATTTTTTTCATTTAATATTCAATCCTTAGAATTTTTTCATGCCATTACAATGTCTTCAGAAGTAACAAATGGCTGCATAATATTCTTTTACATGGTTGTTACAATTTTTTCAACCACTATTCATTGTTGGACAATTCATGATTTTTTTAGTATTCGAAATAAAATTGCAGGTACCTGAATCCTAATCTCTCTCATCCTTTCCTCATGATAAATTCCTGGAAGTGGATTTTTTGGGTTAAGACTATGAACATTTTAAGAGTGTTAGTACATGATGCCACATCATGTTTCAGAAAGGCTGGACCGATTTATACTTTGTCCAACAGCATATGAGCACCTGTCTTACTCTACATAACCTCACTAGTATTAATGATTATATTTTCTTTTAAAAAGGTTTGCTTGGTGAAAAATCTGAATGATTATTAATATTTCTTTGATTAACAGTGAGGATAAATAGTATTTTGTTTTTTCCATTGTAATTTGTAAGGGACTTTTTAATTAATACATTGGCTACCACACCAGAAAAAAAATTTTTCCTTGAGGCCACAGTGTTTAATTAGGTCAAAATACATCTAGAAACATGTGAGTTATATATGCTTAACAAAGCCCAGGGCTTAAAACTAATATAAGTAGTTAAATAGAACTCAAATGGTACTTAATGTATTAAGGAAGCCAACTGTAGCATCCTGTAACCAGCTGGTTTCAATTCCAACCAGATTTAATGCAGTACTTGGAAAAAAGTTTTAACGTGGGACAGGGTCAGTATTTTCAAACAAATTCCTATCTTTTTCCTATACACATCAAAGGCATGGTATTCCCTGAAAGGATTATCATGTCCTTTTAAAACATTTGTTTCATTCCAGAATGAGACTCCTGCACAAAGCCCAAACTGTTCTTTGGAGTTAGTTACTAAAAGATTAACATTTTTATTTTAGCATCAAGATTGCATTTTTATCTTTAGCATCAAGGTCTCCTAAAGACCTAAACTGTTAAGTTTTTTTTGTTTGTTTTTGAGGCAAAGTCTCACTTTGTCACCCTGGGTAGAGTGCTATGGCCTCATAGCTCACAGCAAAATCAAGACTCTTGGGCTCAAGTAATCCTTTTCCCTCAGCATCCCAAGTACCTGGGACTACAGGTGCCCACCACAACGCCTGGCTATTTTTTAGAGACAAGGTCTCTTGCTCAGGCTGGTCTTGAATTCCTGAGCTCAGGCAATCTACCCACCTCCCAGAGTGCTAAGATTATAGGCATGAGCCACCATACCTGGCCACTGCTGTAAGTTTTGAAAGAATGTAAGCACTGACTGTGCATTTCTGATTTATATGTTACAAAATAAAAATTATTTTTCGAAGAGTTTAATTCTAGTTTTCTTAGCTAGTTTGTAGCTTTGAGTCAGTCAGTCACTTTATAGGTAAGCTATTGTCATGTAGAAATCTGATCAAAAACCCCTTGTACCTTACACAGACATTTAGAAGATATCAAAGACAGTGTAAAAAAAACGAAAACGGTAATTTCCACATCAGCCATCTCTATATAGAACAGCAGTTCTCAACCTGTGGGTCACGACCCCTTTTTTTAATAATGAAAATACACTAGGGCATTAGGAAGGGTAAGAACCACTGATCTAGAAAATCAGTTTAAAGATGGTGTTTTTCTGTTTACCAATATTGGCATTACTTCATTGGTATAAGACAACATAATTAAATTATGTTTGTAAGGCTCTTTTTCCTTGTTATTTTATGTATTTATAAGGTCTCATTTAGATAATTCCATACTTTAAAGCAATAATAATGTCATGTCCCTAGAATGTACACTTTACATAAATAGTCAAGTTTCGTTTCTGCTATAATTCTTAAGTGTAAAACTTTTTTGTTAGGTTGAGGAACAAGCAAGCACTACAGAAAGAGTATTTCAAGACAGACAGTATCAAATTGATGCTGCAATTGTTCGAATTATGAAGATGAGGAAGACACTTAGCCACAATCTCCTTGTTTCAGAGGTGTATAACCAATTGAAATTTCCAGTAAAGGTAGGTACTTCTGTTGTTGTGTACTGAGCTTGTTATACAAAAAAGAATACATTAGATTTTCAGACACAAATCATACAAACATACTATATAAAATCCTCAAGACCATTCAGAGACATAAAAGTTTTAATATCCCACGATTCCAAAAAATAAACTTTGTTGGCATTTATGGACAGCTGTGACTAAGGGGGAAAAAGAGTTTATAAAAACTCTTATACCTGAAAGTTTAACTGCTAAATGAGTCTTTGAAATTTTCGAGTTCAGTCACCATTTCTCTTTTTGTTTTTTCTTCTTTGTTTCAGCTTATTCCCTAGGTTTGATCATTCACCATTTCTTTTGAGCTTCTTTGTTGTTTTTATTTGCTACTTTTCTCCTTGAAATACCATGGTCTTTGACAGATCTGGTTATTTTAGATTGAGTTGAGAATCTTCTGTTTAGTTAGATAAGTGTCTATTAAAAACTATATAAAGATGGCTAGTCTTCACTAATGCATTTTTTCTGAAAAGTTCAGTGTTAGTTCTAGTGAAGTAAAACTGGTCATAAGATGGAAGTGTTCCTGTATAAAAAAAAGCCCAATAATAAAGAAACTTAGACAATGAGAAGTTGTACTGGACTACTTTCCAAGTTTTAGGAGAGACCTAAACCCTTGTGATGATAAATACTATAGTTTGGATAAACTTCTGGCTATTAGGGTTCTTATGAGCTATAGACTTTGGTAAATCACTTTACCTTGCTGAGCTTGTTTCCTTTTTTGTAAAATAGAAATAATAGTACTTACCTTGTAGGATTATTGTAAGGCTTAATTGACATCATGAATGTAAAAAAACTTAGGACTGGACTTGGCATATAATAAGCACTCAATAGCTATTAGTTGTAGGAAGGTAAGCTTTTTTTCCTTCTCCAGACCTTATACTGCCTCCTCATTACCATGTTCTCACCCTCATTATTAGGCTTTGCCTAATAATCATTTCACCTCCAGCCAGAGAGATCACTGGTACTAAGGAAGGTAGGGGATTACTGTAATAAATATTGTGCTGATATTCTAGGTCTTTCACCATAATTAAGAGAAAATCATATGGTTTTTTTCAAACGTTGGGATTACTGGGTAAAATTATAGCTGAAATTTTGGCTGCCCTATCAAACTACTTTTTCTCTTCTGCCCTCTTGATCAAGTGATCATTTTACATATTCTGGAAAACTTTCTATTAACAAACAAGATAATATTCTTTTTATAGGCTAGATACACAGGACATATAGTAGAATTTTATCATACGCGAGCTCAGAATGACAATCTTGAAGACAAGCTACAAAGTTTTCTTGATGAGTTCTTGCTTAAAGTAGGTAACAGTTAAATCTTACATTAAAATCAAAATATGAAGATCTAAATTATGAGATGATAACATAATCTATCAAGCCATTTGTGTAGTGTTCTTTTTTTTTTTTCAGCTTTTGGCCGGGGCCGGTGCCCTACTCCTTTGAGCCACAGGCACTGCCCTGTGTAGTGTTCTTTTAAATAATAATTTCCTTGATACATTTTTAAATTTAATTTATAAAAATAAAACCAACTAGCTTTTGCCCAAAGTAAAGATATCTTATCATCTCAAACTATCTTAGCAAAACTAAATAGCATTCTGTTTTGCTAAACGATAATGTGTTACTCATGTGAGATTATAAATTTAGTCTTTTCTATTTAACTATGCTGAGGGTAGCTGCTTCTAGGAAGACCTCTTTAAAATAATAGAAAGTAGGCCAGGCATGGTGTTTCATGCCTGTAATCCCAGCACTCTGGGAGGCCAAGATGGGTGGATTACCTGAGCTCAAATTTTAAGACCTGCCTGCGCCAGAGTGAGACCTTGTCTCTGAAAAATAGCCAGGCTGTGGTGGGCACCTGTATCCCAGCTATTCGGGTGGCTAAAGGAAGGGAATTGCTTAAGCTGTAGAGTCTGAGGTTGCTATGAGCTATGAGGCCAAGGCACTCTACTGAGGGCGACAAAGTACAACTCTATCTCAAAAAAAAGATAGAAAATATTCATAACAATATGGTAAGGGTATGACAATGTAACATATACATAGTATATAGTACAGGTTGAATATCCCTAATCTGAAAATCCAAAATGCTTCAGAATTTGAAACATTTTGAATGACAACACAGTACCACAGTGGAAAATTCCACACCTGACCTTATCTGACTAGGCACAGTTATAACTTTATTTCATGCATCAGAGTTAAATTACCTTCAGGCAACGTGATAAGTTGTATATGAAATATAAATGAATTTCACATTTAAACTTAGGTCCTATCCCTCAGATAATCTCTTTATGTCTATGCAAATGTTCCAAAATCTGAAAAAAATCCAAAATTCAAAATAATTATGATCCCAAGCATTTTCAGATAAGATGCTCTCAACCCGTATAAAAACACGTCATAACATGGTCTGTTTTCTTTAAACTTGTCTCTAAAAAATGAGAGATTTAAATAAATAAAAATTGAGAACATTAAAGATTAAACCAGTGAGACAAAACTGTTCTCTTTTTTAATGGGGTGTTGATAAGTAGACTTGACCCAATGTTTATGAGCATTGCATTGAAAATTTGCCTTCTCTTCCAGCCTGCTGATCTTAAGAAGAGAATAGAATCCTTAATTGACCGGGACTACATGGAAAGAGATAAAGAAAATCCAAATCAGTACAACTATATTGCATAGAATGTTGGCCTTGGAGCACTTGGTGTCATATGCAGTAGCCAGTGGATAAACTAACCTATTGATGCTATATTATTTGACTTCTTTTATACTACCAATGACCAAACGAAGCAGTATAATTAATGGAAATAGTTGATTGGACTTTTTCTCAGTGGTTAACATGCCCATTTTAAAGAGTAATACTTAACTTTAAGAAGAATGTTTTTGAACTCTTTGACTCTTTGCATGTTATTAAGTATGATGTGCAGAAAACACTTAAGAAAGTACCTGGTCTTCATGATTCCTCTTTGGAACTGGGGAAGGAGGTCCCTATGGCTGTTAAAAGGGAGGGGGGTTCTTATACACCATTAATTATGAAGCAAAAGGTTTATTTGCTTAAAATGTCATTTAAAGATACTTAAACTGCATGCAAACTTTATTTACTGTACAGAGTTCTGGATGTATTTATCAAATAGAAAAACCACCCTTGACTTGGTTGTTCACCTGTTTTGTGATTTCCCTTGAAAAGAAAAATAAGTTGTCATAGCTATTGATATTTTATTAGGTAATATTCTGTTACACTGAAAGGGATTTTTTTAAAACTTATTTGGAAACAAAGTTTTCAAGTAAGGGGACAGTTGCTTACATAATATCTTATATACTCACATCCTGAAATTTCCCATTTAAGAGTATGGGATGTGTGTATATGGTTTATCCCCTGAGTTTACTGTGCTGATTAACAAGTACTTATAAAAATAGATAAAATAGAAAATTGCTGATCAGTGGTACTAGAGGAACATCGTAGGAGAGAAAAATCCAACTCTTTATATTAAAAATAAATACAATAAGAAAATTGCAAAAGATACCAAAATCAACATGTTTGATAAGTCATTACAGGAACAAAAACTCATCAACTAGTTTTCAACATACTTTAGACTTTAGATGTTGTTTGGACGGTTTTGTCTTTAACTTGGACCAATTGTAGATCCTTACAGGTTTCCTAGGATTTAAACATTCCTGTTTTCTCTACCAAAGTTTTTTTTTTTTTAAAGCATCCCAACTCTTTGTTGATAAATAAGCCTTTCCTATCATCTTTATTTTAACTTCCTAAAACCATAAATCTAAAGGTCCTCTCTCATTTTCCCCCATTTGGGAATTTGAAATTCTGTATCCTGCTGATCTTCTTCCTTTCAAAATTGCTTGAAGTTCAGAGATCTCTTAGCCACTGGACGTCTACTTTTCACAGAAGTCCCAGGATTCTTTATATGTAGAAAATGGCAAAAGTATTGTTTTCAAATTGGTAATGTTAGTAAAGGGCTTCTCTTTACCATCAGTGGTGTTTTGTTTTTGTTTTGCTTCCGTGTTTGTACTTCCTTGAAGGTTTGAAGGGAATTTGTTCATGGAGGAGAAGCAGAAAATTTCGGTTTTGATTTTTAAAAATCAGAACTACCTTAATGCTTTTTCTAACAGCTTATTTCCTTGCCTGTTAGAGAGCCATTGGGAAGAATATCTAGGTCTGAATCTTCAAATGAGGAGACTTGTTGGCTCTTGTGTCTGCTATTGTTTTCTTGAGTAATCAAAGACCTGTAGCTGGCCATTAAAAAATTGCTTGTTTCTTTCTAACTGCATCCACTTGCACACTATTGTCTAACTATGTATGTGGTATTTAGGATTCCTTCCTAATTCTTTTTTGAGTAGCTGTTGCCTGTGTTTTCTCAGCCCTGATTTCCTTTAGCTGTATTGGTTTTTTTTTTCAGCTCCCTGATTTCCTTACATGAGCTCATCTGACAAGGAAATGCAGCTATTTTGTTTACCCTTTCTCCATGTTGGACCATCTACATCAGTGTTTTAACTCATCCCTGATGGTCTCTAAGATTTGTAAACTATTACGTAAGACTCAGTAGTTACTATAAAGCAATTTTTAGGTAGAGTTGGTCCTGTTTGGAGGAGACTCTTGATGTCACCTTCATTATCTTGAAAGTGGGTCCCTCCCTGAAGCTCATAATTTTTTTTCAGCCGAAAAATTAGCAAGACTATTAAAAAGTAAGTTGAGGGGGGCTGTTTATGAAATTGAAAAGTAATTGCAAACTACATTGGATAACTGACTTTCAGTTCTGTATCAGTTGAATTTTTGTGCTCTTTTCCCTGTGTATGTGGTGGTTCTATTTTTCTCCAATAAAACTTTTATTTAAAAAAGGCTTCTGGAGAAGATCTTTAAAATTCAAATATTGTAAGAAAGTTTTAAAACCACAGGACTAAAAATATGCCTGATTTCTTTTAGTGAATTCACATTTGTCAATTTTTGTTATTTTTTATATTCTTTTTATTTTTGTGGTGGTTTTGTCATTATGCTGTAGGAATATGGGAGGGGTATGGTAAAAAGGGTAAAGTTCCCAGAAATCCTCAAGGTAGATAATTATTTTTCAATGTCATTTTAGAAAAATCAAGTACAAGTATAAACATTGTTTCACATCTTCTAAGTCAAATAGGCAGTATGAAACTAGTCTATATTTGAATTGAGGGGAGAATAAAAGATTGACTTCTCTTTTATTTTATATATAACACTTGATGTACCTTTTCTGTTAATAGTTTGGGTCCTTGGCTAAATACTTTCACTGTAAGATGTTCCTCAAACAATTTTTGAGCCCAGTTCCTGATTCTGCTGAATGGTCTCAAAATGATACCTAGCCACACTCTTAAAATTTTTACTGTGTATATGAGTATGCAGTTCATGAGATCAGTTTAGTCAATCACCTTTGTCTAAAGGTTTGAGAACTTTATCTCTTAATCCTAGTGTCCATAAACCTTCTAAAATTAGCTGGTTTTTGTTTGTTTTCATGATCACACTGTTTAATGCTGTGAATAGCAGGAATGTTATAAACATTTTCTGTTTTCTCATTTAATGGCAGAAAATCCTCATAAAATGGCAAAAAATGGCTCATTAAAAAGAAAAGAATAATACTGATAGGAATTTGCATAATTATGCTTTATAAAATGGTATCCTTGGCAATGAATATTTTTCAGTTTCTAGCAGTGGAATCAATTATGTGACCTTTTGTGTCTGATTTCTTTCACTTGGCATGATGTTTTCAAGATTCATCATTCCTTTTCAGTACTTCATTCTTTTTCATGTCTGAACAATAGTATGTATACCCCATATTTTGTTTATGCATTCATCTCTTATTGGACATTTGGATGGTTTCTGTCTTTTGGCTATTGTGCATAATGCTGCTATGGAGATTTGTATACAAATATATTTTGGAGTCCATGTTTTACAATCTTTTAGAAATATACCCATGAGTAGAAATGCTGGATTATGTGGTAATCCTGTGTTTAACTTATCCAGGAGCCACCAAACTGTTTTCCATGACAACTATTCCATTTTATATTATCACCAGCAATGTACAGGGTTTTTAGTTTCTTCCCTGCATCAATACTTGCTGATCTTGGGGTTTTTAAATATGTAATATTACACACATAGCCATTCTAGTGAATGTAAAATAGTAATTTATTATGGTTTTGAATTTCACTTCCTCAGTGATTAATGATGAGCATTTTTTTCATGTGCTTTCAGTCATTTGTACATTTTCTTTGAAAAGATGTCTTCATATCCTTTGGCCATTTTTCTTTTACTTCTTACTTGCTTTTGAACTTGGATTTTGGCCATTTTTTTAATAGGTAGTTTTTCTGTTGTTCTTTAGATATTTGAGATAATAGGCCCTTATCACAGAATGATTTGCTAATATTTTCTCCAATTCTCTTAAGTTGCCACTCACTTGATAGTAATCTTTGCCCAAAAACTTTTAGTTTTTCCCGAGAGCAGAACACAACTACAGCAGGTACTCTACCTAACGAACACAAACATTGTAACCTAATTGTTATACCCTCACAATAATCTGAAATTTTAAAAAAGCTTTTAGTTTTAATGGAGTCCAGTTCATCTATTTTTCCTTCTGTTGCTGGTGCTTTTGGTGTCATATTTAAGGAACCATTACCAAATCTAAGATTATGGTTTACCCCTATGTTTTCTTGTAAGAGTTTTGCCATTTTATTCTTTATATTTAGGTCTTGGATCTGATTTCAATTAGTTATTTTATATTATCGGAGGTGAGGGTCAAACGTAATTCTTTTACATGTAGATATTTAGTTATTCCAGGTCTATTTGTCAGAGAGGCTATTCTTGCTCTGTCCTTCAAAATCTTGAATCATCTTGCTGCCCTTGTCAAAAATAAATTAACTATAGTTATATGATTTTATTTCTGGACTGTTCTATATGTTAGTTATTAGCTAGTATTACACCATTTTGATTACTGTAGCTTCTTAGTAAATTTTGAAATCAGGAAATGTGAGTCATCCATCTTTTACAAAATTGTTTTAACTATTTGGATCTCTTAATGATCCCATTTGAATTTTAGGATCAGCTTTTCCATTTCTGCGAAAAAGGCCATTGAGATTTTGGTAGGGATTACATTGAATCTATAAATCACTTTGGGCAGTATTGTCATCTTAACATTATTAAATCTTTTAATCCATGAATACAATGTGTCTTTCTATTTTTTATACTATCTCCCTGGTTAAATACATACCTGTTTTATTCTTTTTGATGCTATTATAAATGGAATTATTTCATCTTAGTTATCTACTTTCTTTTAGTAAAGTTTTGTATTTTTCAATGTATAGTTCATAGTAATTTTTTATAATCCTTTTCACTTCTGCAAGGTCGATTAAATTTACTTTTAATTTCTGATTTTAGTAATTTGAGCCTTTTTTAGTATAGCTAGAAGTTTGTTGATTTTATTGATCTTTTCAAAGAATCAACTTTTTTGGTAAGTGAAACCTAGAAAAAATGTTTAAAACTCAACTTTTAATTTTTTAAATTTTCTCTTTGGTTTTTCCATTGTCCATTTCATTTGTCTCTGCTATGATTTTTATTATTTACTTTCTTCTGCTAGTTTGTCATTTTTATTTGTTTTGGTTTTTATTTTTTTATTTTTTTTGAGACAGAGTCTCACTATGTCACCCTTGGTAGAGTGCTGTGGCTTCATAGCTCACAGCAACCACAAGCTCTTGGGCTTAAGTGATGCCCTGTGATTCCCTTGCCTCAGCCTCCCAACTAGCCGAGACTACAGGTGCCTGCCACAATGACTGGCTGTTTTTGTTGTTATTGTTGTTGTAATTGTCATTGTTGTTTGGCAGGCCCCTGCTGGGTTTGAACCTGCCAGCCCTGGTGTATGTGGCCGGTGCCCTTAACCACTGTGCTATGAGCACCAAGCCTTGTTTCCGTTTTTAAAGTATAAAATTAGCTATTGATTTTAGATCTATCCTTTTTAATGTAGGCATTGATTGCTGTAAATTATCCTCTGAGCACTATTTTTACTGTATCCCATATGTTTTGATATGTTGTTTTCATTTTTATTCATATCAAAGAATTTCCTAATTTTCATTGTAATTTTTTTTACCTGTTGTTTAAGAATGTATTAATTTCCGCATT